CCTGATTTATGAGAAAAGATAAGCTGGAGATGAAAAAGTTAAAACTCTTTTTCAAAAGGCGGATCCTCGTTTTGCGTCAAGGTCGAGGTCGAGATCGATTTGGAGGCGGAGGAGAGGAGATCGATTGGAGATGCAGGCTGAGGTAGAGGCTGAGATCTAGGGGTGAGCATGGTTCGGTTCAAACCAAAAAAACCGACCGAACCGACCCAAAATTAGCAATTCGGTTCGGTTTTATTTGTATAGCGGTTCGGGTCGGTTAATTTCAAACCGAACCACCCGAACCGACCGAACTAATAAGTAACATACCCAATACCCATTAACCATCAAACAACCCGATCCGTCCCTCAAATAATATCAACAACTCTAAACCCTAAAATCCCAGCGCCTCTTACTCTCCCTCGTGCGTTGTCATATACGCGCGTGCAGCTCAAGCACAACATGAAAGCAAGCCATGTGCTTCAGTTCTTTCTTAGGCTTGCTTTTGTTCTCTCTGTTTGGCTTATTATAATATCTTTTATTACATTTTGGATATGACGTTTGACATTTATGAATTGTTAGAAGCTTTGGTGAAGCCCAGGAATTTAGAATGCATCTAGAACCGAACAAACCGAACCGAATCGCACCGAACCGACTTGCAACTGTTCGATTCGGTTTTGAATTATATGCGGTTCGGTTCATTTGTTCAAAATTTGGTAAAAACCGACCCGAGCCAAACCATGCTTAGCCCTACTGAGATCGAGCAAAGATTGAGGCTGAAATCAACCAGAGATCGAGGTCGAGTCAAGGTCGAGGTCGAGAGGAGATCGAGGTTGAGTCCTGGCTGAGATCGAGCGGCGGTTGAGGCTATAGGTTTGAGAGGCGATTGAGGCGGCGGAAGAGGAGGCGCAGGAGGAGGGATTGGCGTCGGAGGTTCTGATTTCGAGAGGCGATTGAGGCGGCGGAGGAGGAGAGATTGGGGTCAGGATCGAAGTCGATGAGAAGAGAAAGAGAAGAGATTTAGGGGTTTTAGGTTTTGGTTTTGGGAAGACGGGTGGGCAATTGGGTGAATAGATACCGACCGTTTAATACCCATTTAGGGTAGTTTGAGAGAAACCCTCCCGATTAGATCCATTTAACTAAATGGGTGGGTTTTGGGAGGGCCAAGTGACGGGCGGGCCAGGTAGGTAAATGGGCATGGGCAGAAATTGCCTCCCATACTCTTAGCCTTCGCCATTTTAGCAGACACATACCTTGATGCGCTAAAGGCTGAAGTTATTCAACTTGTCAATGTTGATATCGTGTGATGTCATCTTAAGCCCTTGATGGCTAATCTCATAACTCTCTCCAAAGTTACTTGTAAAATATCATCTCCATTAAGTTGTATAATGATGGAGGTAGATATCACTACTCTGCTAGACTTAGTATCCCAAAAATCTTGGAACATCAGCCTTCAAACACTTCAAATTCTTACATGCCTGTTTCATCCAAAGCGTCCGATGATATTTGTCTAGCTGTCTGGAGACATTCTTGAACTATAGAAAACGACTCCCAAGCATTCAAAAAGACATATTAAAGACGCATGTCTAAGCGTCCAGAGATACTTGTCTAGGCCCCTGGGTGTACATTTGTCCAGGCATTCGGAGATGTTAGTTGAACTGAGAAAGAAAACAAGAAAAAAATTTTATAGACATTCGTCCATATGTCTACAGAAATCTGAAGATACATGTTGACAAAATCCTAGCAGTATATAAGCCAAGCGATTACACACACACACACACATATATATATAGTGTGTGTGTTTATTATTGGATAGCAGGTTATTGGGCCAAACAGGATTCCTAGTCTGTTTTTGTTTTGGTTTTAGAATTATTAGGATTCCTAGTCTGTTTTGGTTTTGGTTTTAGAATTGTTGGATTGCTAGTCTATTTTGGTTTTAGGGTTTCTATATATATGGAATATTTTAGAAGAGATTAGAATCAGTGAATAAGAGAGAAAAAGAGGTTGTTTTGAGCACTTTGAGAGGGAGATTTCTGAGAGGTGAGTTGAGATCTATTGGTGAGAGTTATTTTGAGTGTTTGAGAGTTGGAACCCATTGTTTTTCTCCTCCATATAGTAAAAACTCTCCATCCTCTCCCCGTAGACGTAGGCAATTTGCCGAACCACATAAATCTTTGTGTTTGTGATTGGTTTGTCCCGTTCTTTTGTGAATTTCACTCGTTGGTTGTTCTCCTCCTGTTGGTCGACAACTCGTTTGGTTCGTACGCATGCTTCCGCCGACGCGTAACAATTGATATCAGAGCTCTAGGGTTTTAGACCTAGGGTTTGTTTTGGGTGGAGAAAAATTCTTTGTCCGAAGCTTGGATCTTGGAGATCTAGGCTTCGGTGGAGATAGCATTGTGAAGTTGCCAGTTGGAGATCTCATCTTCCTCGCGTGGTTGGGAGTTCGTGTTGGAATCCACTCTAGGGTTTAAGTTGGGTAATTTCTCAATTCTATCAGTTGTTCAAATTTTCTCTATAATTTAGAGTTAGAAAGTAATGGCAAAAGATAGTGGTGAAAGCAGCAAGGCTACGGCAAGTACAGTTCAGGTTGCGTTTCAGAATACGAAGATCAGTGTTGTGAAGCATGACGGCAAGATCAACTTTGAGTTGTGGATGAGTGATGTGCAGGATGCTTTAAATGCTCAAAATTTGAAAGAGATCATCATGATCCATGAGAGGCCACCGAAGTATGATGAGGTTATATGGGACAAGATGAATTGAAACGCTTGTGAGGTAATTAGATCTTGTTTTGAACAAGAGTTGAAGTACGATGTGATCGGTGTGACATATTATAGGCAATGAAAATTGTCTAAGAGTTCAGATGGTCGACTCAGCCGACCAAGTGGACGACACCCGCCTGTGTCGATTTGAAGGGCGGTATCAGTCCGCCCCTCGAAGTCCAAGTGAACGAGACCCTCGGCGTCGACTCGAAAGGCGGTGTCAGTCCTCCTCTCGAAGACAACTCACCGAGCGGGACGATACCCCTGTGTCGACTCGAAAGATGGTGTTAGCCTGCTCGGAGTCAAACACCCCTCGAAGCCGACTCGCTGAGGGTCCACTCAGCTTAGCCTCACGGGACGACACCCCGTGTCGACTCGAAAGGCGGTGTTAGCCTACTCAGAGTCAAGCACCCCCTCGAAGCCGACTCACCGAGGGTCCACTCAGCTCAGCCTCATGGGACGACACCCTTGTGTCAACTTGAAAGGTGGCGTTAGCCTGCTTGGAGTCAAGCACCCTATAGGCAGTGAAAATTGCCTAATAGTTCTACACGACTGAATTCCCGCTGGTCGACTTCCAAAGTCGGCTCGCCAAAGGTCGACTCGCCTTAGAAGACCTTGGGACGACACCCCTTCGTGTCGACTCGAAGGTCGGTGTCAGCCTCTTTGAATAGACGAATATCGAACTTCGGACCCGAAAAAGTCATCATTCACTAACCACGATCAAAATTCAAATCAGTTACTATAGAGATTGAATTTGATAAAACCGATATCAAAAACGAACTCAGTACGTCGAAAAACCCAATGAACGACTCCTGAATCACCAAAATTTGTCTCCAAATACTCGATCAAAAGAAAAATCAATCTCAACCGTTGGATCTGTGTGAACAGAACCCACCACGCCGCTATAGTGTTCTTGTTACAGTATCCATCTACAGTTCTCGATCGCTACATAATGCCACTGCTACAGTAATTTCCCCCTTTTCTTTTTCTTTTCAACTTGATTCTTGTAACGTACGCGATCTTTAATCTTGCACAACGTCATCTTCTATCTTGCGAATTTGCTCCTGGATCCATCAACATCGCTCTGATACCACTTGTTGGGGGAATTTCACTCTCCCCGCCTACTACAATATGCGCAACTCCGAAGCCAACCCACAATCAAGAAGATATAAAACGATCACAATCAAGAAAAAAGAACACCGGAATTTACGTGGTTCGGTCGACCAACTTCGACCTACATCCACGGGGCAACAATACGAGAAATTCACTATGTATCAGGAAGAACTACAAGAGAAACCACTCAACTCTCATCTCTCAATCTCTCAACCTCACATACATAATCAACTCTTATATTATCTCCAAAGCCTGCTCCTTGTAATCTTTTAAACGGATAAAGATCACGAAACCCTCGCCTCTAGCACAATCTTCTTGAATCAGGTTATGCCCTCTACTAACCCTAGATTATAAGAATATTGACTCTCTCTTTACTACATCTTCTCTCTATTCTCTTCTTCTTCTTAGTTTTTCCTCCAACAATAGAAGAATATATATAGGGAAACCAAAACCCTATCTCTAGCCTAACTTCCTAATTAGAATAGGATTCGAACTCCTAATCATAATAAAATCCAAACTCCTAATCATGATAGATCTCTAACCCTATCTAATTCTCATGAAGTTCTACAAAGAATCAAAGACACAATCCCAACAAAAAAGTGGTTGTTTTGAGCACTTTGAGAGGGAGATTTCTGAGAAGTGAGTTGAGATCTTTTTGTGAGGGTTATTTTGAGTGTATAAGAGTTGTAACTCATTGTTTTTCTCCTCCATATAGTGAAAACTCCTCATCCTCTCCCCGTGGACGTAAGTAATTTGCCGAACCATGCACATAAATCTTTGTGTTTGTGATTGGTTTGTCCCATTCTTTTGTGAATTGCATTCGTTGGTTGTTCTCCTCCCGTTGCTCGCCGACTCGTTTGGCTCATGCGCACGCTTCCGCCGACGCGCAACATTTATAACCTATGATTCCAATTTTCATTCTTTGAGAAAAGAGTAGTGGCCAAAGGTTGATTTCTGTCTTCTCTTTTTTTCCCCCATTTCATTGTGCTCTCTTGTTTAGATCCCTTTAAGGGAAATGAAATTTTTAATTATGTTAAAAAAATTCTAGGCCTCTCAAAAGACGAGACAATCATTTTCTAATAGACTTGAAATTGAAATAGAGATTAACCTCCTATACCATCAATGGTAGATAAGAGGTAAAACAGTAAAAGAATACATTTTTGCAAAATATATATAATTGATCACACAATCTATATCTAAAGTCCATAACACAGTCTCTACATTATTCTTCTACATCTCCTGAAGCTAACAAACATCTCTCTTTATTCAGAGAGAAAGAACCAAAGAAAAGACCAAAATCAGAGTTGATTTTAGTATGGGATTCTACTTTCATGGATCCCCTAGCTAGAGATAATCTTTGGGTGATTCCCCATAGCTTTAAGATCAGTGCATGCCACCGACGCCGCTAGTCTTGAAGGTCGATCTTGAGAGCTTAGGAAGCATGAAGAGTCCGAGACAGCCACACACAAAGGCAAAGGCGGATGCAAGAGCAAATGCTGGGATGTTCCCCTTGCCGAAGAGTTGGTCCCACGGACCTGCACCAAGAGCTACTATCACCTGCAACAATCGAATCAATCAAGCAAAACATTAACGTTATATGTTGGTTCCATGAAGTTGTTGATATGGTTTTATTTAAGATAAATTACAGGAAGTCCTTTTAAGGTTATAGTTTTAACAGTCAGGGGTTGATCTCTCTGTTTCAGTCTCTATGAAGTGAACTTCGATGTATGAGCGATATGGTAATATGATATGACAAATTTCCACATTACTATAAAACATATATATGATTATTATAGTAAAATTAATTTATTACATCGAAGAGTGAAGGGGAAGGGTTAAGTGTCAAGTCTAAAACTTTAGGGAGATCTTTCATGATTCCTACGAACCACAAGGAGACTTTTTTGTAATTTACCACCTCTTTATATAAGTTCAATTACCTAGGGATTGCAGTTCATTCATGATGCTATATAAATGGGAGGTAAGGTTTAAGCATATTGTTGAATATCTCATTGCTAGGTTTTTTGCAACTGACCTGAGGGACAACAATCGAAATGTTTAAAACCCCAGTGCATAACCCTGCAAAAGAACAGAAGTCATTAAAACCAAACTAAAGGAGCTCGGATAAGTAAAAGATGAGACACCAAAAAAATCATCACAACAAACCTTGGCCACCTCCTCGGCTAGCAGCTAATGTCGCTGTAACTGCAAAAGGAACACTATACAAAACCTACAAGCAATAGAATAACCATGTCAGAAATATCCAGTTAATAACAAAAAGTAAAAAGAGGGAGCAAAATACAAAACTGGAAGAACACTAACAGCCAGGGGAAGACCGAGAGCTGCAAAGAGGAACAATGCAACCGCTTTGACTTTGCCATCTGGTCCGATGTATTGATCACCTCCACCAGTGTAGTTATGCATGGACCAGACACTCATGATCGCAGTTGCAGCCATTGCAAGGCACACCATAAAGTTGCTTGTCACCCAAACAATTCTTGGAGTGAGTTTTCGGCAAAGGGGCTCAATCATGAAAGAACCAATCCCGAGAATAATCTAAAATAAGAAAAATGAAGAGCCTTACTAGTTACTACTAATAAGATATATGCAGGAATACACAAGCATTGGTTTATTGTTATCCTTTGTAAGTACTTACCGAATTTAATAGCAAACCAAATGCACCGGCTCTAACCCCTCTGTCGAAGGCATCAATTTGCGATGGTGTTCCCTTTGGATTCCCATGGAAGACTTCACGGCCCATCCAATCCGTGTCAAACAGGATGAATGGAAACCATGACAACTGTGAAATGTAAATGATGAGATTAAATAAAATTCTCTTAAACTAACTTGGATATGCTAACTTCTTTAAAGATTAAAAAAACATAAATTACATACCCAAGTAAGACCGGTGATGAAAAGTACTGAAGGCATTCCAGGAGGCAAGTTTTTGATACTTCTGAAGATATCGAGGAACTCTGCTCTGTGCAAGTACTGAAGGCATTCCAGGAGGCAAGTTTTTGATACTTCTGAAGATATCGAGGAACTCTGCTCTGTGCTCTTCTTCACCTTTGCCAGGGATACTAGTTTTTGATACTTCTGAAGATATCGAGGAACTCTGCTCTGTGCTCTTCTTCACCTTTGCCAGGGATACTACACAGAGGGACTTCTTTCGCGACAATTAATGTAACCAGCATGGATAAGAGGAGGAAAACCTGCAAGTCAACCAAGAATTAGTACTTACTACAGTTACAGAACAGAAATCAGCTAGCCATGAGCTTCATGTTTTTCACAAATTAGTACAAGGGATTTGAAATGTCAATCTTTCGAGACTTTGATTCAGGGGGCAAGACCTGCCACTTCATTTTTTAAGCCAGGATAACCAAGAGTACTAATATATTACATAGAATAAGAATTGGATTGTACAAGAATTGGGTTGCACCAAGAGCCTTATGAAAATGTGTATACCAAAAATATTTTCTAAAACAAACTACAGAAGAAGACTAAATTGATGAGGACTGCAAGGAAAATATGTCGAAGTTGTTCATTTTGATGAATGATCAGCTAAGGAATGACTAGAACTAGGTATGACATTATTGTATCCCTGCTTCTGAAGTTCAAGCATTAAGCATGCATGACAACACATGCACATGTACGCCTACACTCATACACATGGTTGATATTAAATTATTCTGTCCTTTGTTATAACACAAGTCATTTGTTACACATATACTAGTTTAAAGTTATCCTAAAGTATGAATGAGACATAGAAAACTATTCATTATAGAGTGGGAATATCAAAAGATAGCAGGAGAACTTACCACAGCAACTAAGAATGCTCCCTTCAGATTTGCACACGCATCACAACAGGCTCTCGTTTTAAGGAAAGGAAACCAACTGCCAAAGGTTAACCCAAAGGATGTCAAAATTAAAACAAAAAAGCAGTAAAGAACGCAATTACTTGTTTATGTAAATCAGAACATTTAATGGAATTGGATCCATGAATGTTTTATAATTAAACTCAAAGAATTCACCAATAAACAGGAAAGGAATGTATATTTACTTGTGCCATTCTCCAGTTGAACCAGAAGAGTACCCTAGGATGTTTCCAAAAGCCATCCAAGACGCAAAAATTGCATTTGCTGCATTGCATCCAAAGCGGCCTATTTCAAAAACAAATGTCAGCTGAAATTAACAGTTTATAGCAAATCACAGAGAAAATATAGGACATTCTATCTAGCATTCAGTGCCAGAATAAATAAACTTCTAACCTGAGAGATCAGCCATCAAAGCTCGAGCTGGGCCCTGTTGAGCTCAGGAATTAGCAACATACAAAATATATGTATTGAAGCCAGAACTCATATACTGCATAGCTAATTATAGGCTTACCTGCACCGCATTGTTTGCAAAGTCCAATACCCAAAACCCACCGACGAATATAAATGCTGCTTTCCACCGAGGGCCATGATAAACACTGTACGTTTGAAATGAGAGATTTTATCACATTCATGCCAGAGCAAATAAATTTTTAACCCCACGCAGTCTCTTTTCACTGCTTTTTTTATTAAAGCAGTCTCTTTTCTCTCCACTACACTCCAGTAACTAACAAGGAAAGGAATTCCTTTTTCACACTTGCCCCAAAACCAAACCGTGCCTAATATAAGTACGAGAGAGAATTTCACCTGCAATCCTCCTTGGTATCACCTAAGGCATAGCCTATATCGGAAGAAAATCCAATTACAGTCACCTGAGATATAGGTAAACAAATGATGTAAAACAACTCAAGGGCAAACATAGAAAATTTATAGAGATTACCGTACTCACAGCTAAACAGATAAGGAGACATCCGGCCAATATAAATGGTCTTCTCCTTCCAAATCTTGACCGACATTTGTCACTATATAAACCAACACAAGGTTGAACCTGAAAGCAAAACCCAGAACAAAACAATTAAGAGTATACCACTTTTGCATGAAGTAATGCCTTAAATGAAATGATTTGTGATAATTGCAGGTGTCATGAGACATATCTGCAAAGAAGTGTAAGAAAGAGTATAAAGTTAAACGCTTACAATAAACCCTGCAAGGGGGCCACAGAGCCACATGAGAGAAGAAAGGGCATGTGACAGTCCAAGTGTCTGCACAATAAAAGCAAGATAAAACAGAATAATTCAGAATAAGCTGATATATTATTTTGTTTTCAAAATATCACCATCTTATATTAAAGCGGAATACACAAACAATTATTATTATTATTATTATTATTACTATTATTACTATTATTATTATTATTATTATTATTATTATTATTATTATTATTTGAGAATAACAAAGAAATTAAGGGACCGTAGAGGTGCACATAGTTATTTTTATATTGGTTGAAGATTAGGTATTCAAGACGATCAAAAATGTTTTATGTTTCAATAAGAGACATTTTTCTTTGAAGCTGATATAGAACAAGGCCTCAAATTTTAAAATAGGCATTTGCTTCCAGAACTTCCAGTAAAGCCCATCTTCCATTGCCATTTCAATATATATATAACCTTTTGGGTTAATCAACTTTTGAAAGGAAGCAATATTATCTTTCTATCTAAGATTATTAAATGACTATGAGAATCAACACTTTGTTTTGGAAATGTGATGTTCTCATAAATGTTTGAACTTTTGTTTGCCCACAGGTTTAACTTGTATGCTACACAAGAGCCATATCTAATCTAGCTAATTAAGTAAGTATAAGACGGGTATGGGCCAAAATGTTGAATCTGATCAGTTTAAGTGAACCGATTAAACTCTGATGATGTCAACAAGGATCTATCCCATCCATGAGTCGCTTTTAATGAATAGGTTTGATCTAATAGCTTCTGAACCTAATTGGTTGGTTTGGCCCGCTTCGGTTTGAATCAGAATGAACTGGTCCCATAACCGTATTATAGACCTGGTGGACTAGCCCCCTTGCATACCTTTCGGCAACACAGCCCCACAAAAAGTATTGCCCATCACAGGGCTTTATCCTGTTTCTTATCATGCAAAAAAAATTCCTACCTGTAAATTACGCCAAACCCCCAAGAACTTTCAACTTTGGTAGTAAACACCTTATAACTTCTAAAATCATGCTAAACCCTCCTTGCAGAAAATCCCTAATAAGTTTTTGAGTTTTACATATAATCTCGTGTCTATGTCAGTCCACATTTAGGATCTAAATGTATCGCCAACTCATAATTTGGACTAACGTCGTCATGGGCGTTATTTGCTAAATGCAAAAACTTATTGGGGGTTTTCTGCAATTCCAATAGTTCTTGATATTTAGTGTGATACAGAAGTTATGGGGGGTTTATTGCAGAACATTGAAAGTTTTTTTGGGGTTTAGTGTAATTTACCCAATATACCCCCTAAATATACCATATTTGAGAAGTTTACCCCCGAAGTCTGCATATTTGCTGATTCATGTCTTCAGTACTTCATTTTAGGGAGATAAAACTTGTAAAAATTTCAAATATGCTACACTTGACTTTGGGGTCTATATGCAAAATGCCAATTTTATACTGTATTATCTCAAATTTATGCTTCAGCTGTTGTGTTACCTAGGAAAATTATATATATATATATATACACACACACACCCTGTCTCCTTTTTGTCAAATATCTAAGCCGCAAATCCAGAATATTGCTTGCTCGTACATAAGCTATAGATAAGAAGAAGAGAAAATGCAAGGCGGAATAACTTACAAAATTACAATATAATAGCAAATTTTGTCAACATGGTAATTGGAATTTACACAGAGCTATTAACACTAAACTAGAAAGTAATAATTGAAAAAAAAAATTACATCTTTTGCGCTTTATATATAGAGACTTTTCTCTTCCTATAGGAAATAGGTTCCTATACTTTCAAGAGTAATAATAGCCATTACAAAAGTGGAACCAGCTCACTTTCACTTATTATAATTAATGTGCGTCAAACAAAATTCCACGAAGGGAATGAAAAATTGGAGACCAGAGTTAGAACCTACAGTTTGAACTTCCCATACTTTCTTCAAATAGTACACATAATTCCATGAACCAGCTGTAATCATTATTTTTCTAGTAACAATTGGGTATAATAATATTCCAAAAATAGCAGGTTCATGAAATTGTAAAGGAAGTAATAATTTCACACTTTTGGTAAAAATCAAGGGGGTAAAAAACGGATCTAAGAGCTAAACGCTCAAACCCTAATTAATCTGAAACTGGGGAAGATTACCATACAATACTGAATAATGTACGTGACAAATAGACTGACCCCTTGAAAATCAACTATTCAGTTCAAAATGGAGCCCAACCACATTCAAGAAAACAGCTAAAAACCCAACCTTTTCTCCCAGAAATTATCTCAAAATAAATCGAACAGAAAAAGGATCGAGATTTAGAGACCTGAACGTAGGGAGTAAGGAGAGAGAGCTGTAGGGCCCACCCGTACTGGACCCCACCAGCAACCACGCACCCGAATATCAACCTCGTCAAGCTAATCTCCGCCGCGGCCGTCGCCGGAGCCACCTCGGCAATCTCCGCGCAGTTGGCCGCAGCCAGCTCCACCTCCCCTCTTCCCGCCTTCCTCCCAGTCTCATTCCTCTCCAAATCCATCTCAATCACCTTATCTCATCCAATTTCGAGAATCTAGGGCTAGGGTTTCGGGAATTTAGGGTTCAAATCCTGAAGAAAAAGGGGGAGGAAATTCGTCGAGACGAAGGTGTTGAAGAGTGAGAAGAGAGAGGAATTTGGACATTTGGGCGACTCATGCACGGGGTTTATAACCTCTTCGCGCTGGTGTATGCTGCTCCTGCAGAGCACTTTAAAGTTTACTACAATTAAACGTTGTATTGCCACGTAGATGGTACCGTATAAAAAGTACTTGACGAATGTCGGCGAAATAGAGGCGCGTGTAAAATGGCTACCGTTACCTATCATGACGTCGATTGGTATCCAACCGAACACGGCTGCAGAGCGTAAGAATGGAGAGTGAGAATACCGGGCGGTGATTATACCGCAACACCCGTCCAAGCTGAGGCTCAAATGGGTCCAACTATTCACACTCCCAAACAGTAACTTTGGGGGTGTGTGAGGACTAAATTGTCCTTCTCCCACCAGACAGCCAATCCGGTGGACATGACGTTGCATTTAATAACACAACTTATAAAACTATTTCATATTAACATAAATTTTCAACATAAATCAAAAATTGTAGTTGTAAGTATGACAAAAAAAGAAAATTCGCAAAATAATTTACTTTTATTTTAATCTTATAAGATGCAAATAAATTCTTTTTAAAACAAAAAATGTAAATTAATCACATCTTACTTCAAAACCAAAAAAACTAAAAAAACAATTACTTATTTCTCACCGGACACGGAGTCCGGTGGGCGAAAAATTAAAAAAAAAATATAAAGCACACCGGACACGGAGTCCGGTGGGCGAACAATTAAAAATATATATATAAAGCACACCGGACATGGAGTCCGGTGATAGTAATAATTTAAAAAAAATTATTGCACACCGGACACAGAGTCCGGTGGCAACAAAAGGGCATTTTCGGCAATCCAACTCCCAAATTTACTGTTTGGGAGTGGATATAGCAAACGTGGGTTCAAATGGAGAGATTTAGAAAAAAAGTGGGGCCCACGGGGGCCCTCAGTGTTAATCCATTACATTAATTAGCGGGGAGGGGGCCCTAGGGGGGTGGAATTAATGATGTCCTTATCCTTTGAATTATCCATTTGTGTTTGTATACGTCTGCATGCAGAGCCTCCTTTCCACGTGCGGTCTCCTGAAGGGAAGTTTGACTATTTTCACCCCTCTTTGGGAGATGCATTTCCTTATCCTTCCTTTTTTTTTTCTTTTTTTAGCTTTCTAGAAACTATAAATATTTAATTAATTCACTCAAAAAAATTAACTAAAATTTAAATAATGTCTTAATGATGTATTTCATGATCGTTGTCGAATAAATTTACTAATGTTTGGTATCAGATTAAATTAAATAGATACACTGAATGAATGTGAAATATACGCTGGTCTTGAAAGGTCTCTCTAATAAATTTCTGACTTAGCAGTCATATTTTCTAGAATTTATTATAATAAAAATAGAAAAAGGTAAGTTAATAGGTTCAAAGCTTTTCGAGCTGGCCGCTCTTGTTCTTCCGGTGAATGGAAATCATATTTATCATATATATAAAGGAGAAATATCAAGGAAATTACAACTTAATATTATCTAGGGGATATTACTTTGATAATGCGGATTTAATCCGACCAATCTTGTCGAGTTTTTTCAATTGTATTAAATATAGCCAAGAGTCAATAATTAAGGATGTTTTTCAACTTTACAAAGTTGTTACTTGTTATATATTATACTAGGTGGCTCTCATATGGAAGTAAACGAATGAGGTCGTCTCTATAGATGAGCTGCGTCTCTATAGATGAGTTGCGACGATTGAGTCTTTAGGCTGTATGGTGGGATGTCTACAGTGGCGGAGCCGCACAAGGCTTGTCATGAGCAGTTGATCAGGGCAAGAAAGTGAAAATATATATCCCTCCCTGAGAGAGCGTGAAGGGAGGGATCCTGCTGGGCCCATCAGCCCTCAGCCGCAGTCACAGATTTCTCGACAATGTGTTCCCCAAACGCAGTCTGACGGTGCTCGACACAATCGCCAACATCAGGCTCCTCTACTTCCTCTTGCTTTGCTCGACACAATCCCTTTATTTTTCGCCCAGGGCAAAAAACAATCATGGCTACGCCACCGGATCGATGTCTAGGTGTAGAACAATGGAATATGAGAGGGCCGGGCTCAATGCTTCAAGATGTTAATGAGACTCCGACACGTATATAGAGATTTGTATCTAAACAATCTATCCCTGTAAACGTAAAATTAGGCGGTGGTCACATGGAAATTCCCCGATGCGGCATGACATAACGTGAACATTGATGATTCGATTGATGGCCAATTGGGGCGATGCGGTTGCATTTTTTTTGTTTTGAGGAATAATCATGCGAACTTGGTTATAGGGGGAGGGCATATTTTACCTAGGCATTGCTACCGTATTGTCACTACTAGCTAGCTAGTAAGCTGAAAGGACTATGGAGTGGAGTTGCTAAGATCATTCTATGCTATATGATGGTCTAGAAGTATCGAGCTAAAATTACCAGTTCTATCACTAATATGGTCTTGATTGAGGATGTGTGTATCGTGGTGAATTCTATACAATCGACTAAAAATTAATTCACACATCTTCAAGAAGAGCCATAAATTAGCTTCAAATTTTGTGGCAAATATTGTTAGAACACGATGAAATTCTTCTTAATTTCTTGGCAAATGGGATGTTAGAAAAGCTCCATAAAAGTTTTGCAGATGGCCATGTTCGAGGTATGACTTATGAGATAGAAAGAGAGCTTTGTTTGTAACTAACAAAAAAAAATCATCTAGCGATAGAACATCCAGTTTTATGCATAAAATAATATGTGTGTGTACATGTAACAAAATTTTGTTATTGCACATTAAAGTTTCTCTATTTTCAAATCAGTGAAATAGCCTTCCATTAGAGTATTTTGCACAGAGTATGTAGACATAATTTATTTATTTACTTATTTAGATTTATGTACATTATGTGTACGTGGTATGTTAGAATTAATATAAAACTATAATCATTGATCCTCATCATAACTTCAGAGTTTTGGTGTAATGGTTATAGGAACCTAAATTTAAGATGGTATCAGAGCAACGTCCAGGTTCAAATCTCACCGGCTACGAATTAAATAAGGATTTTCTAAAAATTAAAACCGCTACGTGAGTCCAGGTTTCCACCAATAAAAAAGGGCGCTCGACCTGCGGGGACATATTAGAATTAATATAAAACTATAATCCTCACCATAACTTCGGAGTTTTGGTGTAATACTTAGAGGAACTAAATTTAAGATGGTACCTTTCTATTTTCTCTTAAACAGGGGCAGATCTATATATAGTCCAGGTGGGGCCACAACCCCTAAAAATTTTAGGGAAAAAAGATAGGGTGGTTTCTGTAAAACCTCCTCCCTTAAAAATTAAAATATATTCATTCTACATAATTTTTGTCTTCCTCTTTTGAAATATTTTGGAGATATTGACGTTGGCTATTCTACTCGTTTTGTTTGGGTTATGGTGTACCTCTTGTGAATAAAATTGCATTAAGAAAATTTTTCGTCTATCTTTTGTACGCGGCCCCCCAGAACTGAAATCCTGGATCCGCCCCTGCTCTCAAAAGATTTGAAATTAAAAACTACTTTTTTATTACAGTTTATATATCAAATTTAATTGTTTAAAGTTGTTTCATTGAATTCCAATAGTTTATAAGGGAATCAACAATTGATAATATTTCAAATCACCTTTTGCATGTTATTAGAAAGGAAATTCATTATAAGATGCATATATATTTTTTTTAATTGCAAAAGTGCAGCTAATGTATCACCTTTTGTTATTGGCAGGAAATTTCATTGTAACATGCATATTGTTTTGTTTATCGCAAAAGTGCAGCTAATGTACCGTTTATATCATTTCATGTATTTCTAGAGGCAACACGTATATATAAAAAGTGATTAATATTGCCCTACCATGATTTTAGTGATAAAAATTTCTCTAAAATGTACAAATATAAAAAAAATCAGGTCAAATATTCAACAAGGAATTAAAATTTTCCCTTAACTAATAAAGTACTTTTCCTTACAGTAGTACTGAGAAGAACAAAGCTACAGGGATGTAGTAAACTTTGGGGGTATATCTATCAACTTTTATCCAAAGATTAGAAAAATAATCTTGGATTAATAGCACACGTGCCAGCTGACTAATAGCAGTAACAAGTGTCAATGGCACACAAAACAAGTCAACAGACCAATATGAAGCATTTACTGGTCAGAGCTCACCAAATTCTCCTCTGACCCTCAAACAACCCTCTCATTGATTTGCGGGTTACTATGTTTAGAGTGGGGCCCGTGTAGATTTTTCCCAATTAGGCTATGGGTCCCATGCAAATGGTCCCACCGCAAAACAAATGGCGACGGAGTTCATGTGGAAGTTGAGGTCAGTCAAAAGTTAGCAGTGATTGCTTCTGATTTCAGTCAAATTCCTGCATAGATGATGATAAATGGTACATTTCCCTTTTTTGGATTTGTTTCGGAGGAGCTATTTTTTTTAGGGTTGCTTCGGTGCTCCATAAATAGGACTTTAATTAAACTTTATTTAATTTCATTTATAAGATGGGGTTATTGGTTGAGTAATGTTAATTTGGACTCCGAATTTTTATTGAATTCAATTTAGAGTGTTATTCATTTTGAACTACAAATTAGATTTAAATTTAAGGTGTTGTTGGTTTATGTTGATGTATAAAATCACACAGTCAAATAAGGGGAATGATTAAGTTGACGAAAGTCCTCTAACCCTTTGAATGTCTGGTTCTTGAGTAAGTTGTTCTTCCCTATACAAATAGCAAATCGTAAGAGGGCGGGGTTGGGTTCCCCGGTTGCTCCTCTGACGATCAATTTAGCAGTTTGCTTGAGTAGAGAAGTAAAAATAAACTACGGTAGTTCTTAAGCACAGTCAATAGTGAGAAAGATCTTACCATATTATTGAAAATAGTATCTCTATTTATAGTAGTGGTAGGATGGTAGAATGATAACTTCAACCGAGTATGAGATGACGGCCACGTCAGCCTCAACTTTACAGGTGTCGGCCGACGAGTGGAGAAGAGATC